TTTTTTTTTGCACTTTTATTTTTCTTTTTTTTCTCTTTTTTGAACAGTTTAGAACTTGTCGCACATCACTTTAAAACTGATGAATATAGTCTCCTCCGTATAACAATTTTAATATATACATGATGATTAGAAAAAGTAAAAGATGAGTGAGTAAGTAGGTTTGATTATCTTTTAATATCTTGCAAAAAAACTATAGTGATAGTTTCAATTCATCAATGAATATTAAATCCTAAAATTTTTATATTAAAAAATCATACTAATAAATAAAAGAGTGGAAAATGAGAACAAAAAAAAAAAAAAAAACAATCACAAAAATATTATTCACTCCATATCACTTTTCCTTTCTCATATATGATTTACTCATTGTTTTCAAATTCGAACTAAACCGAATAGTTGATTTATTGATCAGTCCGGTTCGCTTGAAAAAAAATGTTTGTTTGTGAATCGATCAACACCAGTCACTCGAACTGGTAGGATCTGTATGGATTTCAAATAAATTTTGTAACGTTTAAAATTATTTTTAATATGAATAAAATTATATTTAAATAAAATAATTATCAATTGATATTAATAAATTAAATGCAGGTCCAGCCAATTATTTATTTAACTAGTAGACATCTTGTGCACATGCACAAATGTACATAAAATATTATAAGTAATATTTGAGAACTTAATATTAAAATTATAGATAATGAACATATTACATTTTCAAAATTTTGATCATTAGAAAAAAATAATTAACGATTTTCTTATTATGAACAATTGTGTATTGTCATTAGATAATAACAGTTTGACTATTATTATTAAAAATAATTGTTTATAAACTTCTAAAGTTGTTTGACTAAGCTATTAAATAATTTACTAATTGGTTTTAAAGAAATTTTTTCATGACATACAAAAGAAAAAGATAATATTGATGTTAATATAAATAACTTGAAACAATTGTTTATAATTATGTAATTTATATTTATTGCGAATTATTGTTAGTTGGTATTAGCATTAACTATTATATAATATAATAGAAAAATACATGATTACACTTGATAGAATGTATTAATGTGAGAAGTAAAAAAATATTAATGATAAATTTTGTAACTGAAAATGGAGGGAAAATTTTAGAGATTTTATTAAATAAGTTTTATTAAATAGTATATGCTAGCAATTATATATATATATATATATATAAGTAACTTGATCGGTTTGATGATGTTTTGCTTATGAGAAACTTTGATTTACAATACATTAATAAAAGTTGTAATACAATATCATTTAGTTCACATAAATATTAATAAAATAATATATAAATTATCAATAAATCATTAAATATATTTCCATAAAATTATTCTTGAAATTTAGTTACATTACATTTATCCTCATAAAGTATTTATGATATTAAAAAAAATAATAATAATAAATTTGTCCCAGTGTTGTTGAAAGAAGAATGCGGACAGCCCGCCCGGCGCCTTTAAATGGACCCATGCCGTTTAAAGCATAAAACATTTTGGTATCTCCCAAGTCCACCCCAAGCCCGCCACACGGTTATATGAACACCTTTTTTTAACTCAAAATGAAACAAAATAAGTTTAAAATAAAATTACTATTCATTTGAACTTATTTTTCGTAGATTTTTATCTACAAATCCAACTAACACAATTTATTAAAGAATATAAAATAATTATAAATAATACACTTTTTTTAAAATAAAAAAATAGTATTCATCCATCATTATTTAATTTTAATCTTATTGATCAATATTTTATAATTTTCACATCAGATAATTTTAATTACAATTCTTTATCCCAAATACATTTACAATCTCAAATTATCACAATTTTTTTTAAAAATGATTTTTTCCAACTCTTTCATCTCAGTTTTCCACCATTCAAAATTTGAATTAAAAAAAAAAAAAAATATATCTTAAACCACAATTTGAAATAATCTTAAAAAGTATGGTGCTAGTCACATCCAACTAGAGGTGGGCAGTCAACGTGCCGTGACCCGGCCAGGCCTAGGCCGGTGGACCTCCGAAGGGTGATCCTTAACCGGCCCGCCAAAACCCAATGGCCGGCCCATGGAACCAGCCCGGTCCTGGACTGCCGGGACAAAAAACAAAAAAAGAGAACCAGACACAACCCATAAAGCCACGGTGCCAGTTCTCGAAACCGGCAGCCTACGACCACCGGGACAAAAAACAAAAAAAGGAGAACCAGACACGGCCCGTAAAGCCACAGTGCCGGTTCTCGAAACCGACAACCTACGGGCCAGGATGGCAGGCCAAGCCGGGCCGTGGTCGTGTTTACATCCAACCTAACAAATGGATACATATTTGGTTCAGGCACCATTAAACCGGTTCCAATTCCTGTCAGCCAAAATAGCACAACAAAACAAGTGAACAAAGACACAAAAGCATATAATTATCATTTGACTTCATAGTAGGAACAAACTAACAAAAAGACTGCCACAAAGAGCCTCGTCTCAAACACAAAACAAATCACACATAAATAGCAAACCACATCAGAAAACAGTCCCAAAGACGCGCCAAACACTCTCATAGGGCATTAAGACCTGAAACACTCTGTAATGGCAACCCAACACCACAACAGAGTTTTATTCTCACAATTCTCACAAACCTGACAACCACACACACATCAAAGCACAAACAAAACCAAAGCAAACAAACAAAATACCATAATAAAGCAAGCATAATATGACTCCTCAGACTCGGACTCTTTACTCCTCCTCAGACTCGGACTCCGCACTTTGCAGCCACTCCACAAACGGCTTCACATTCTTCCAGATAGGTGACCCTTTATTCCCGCCCTTCAGCCCTTTCTCATACCACCCCACTATAAACTCCTCTTCAAGCACATCATCATCGTACAAAGCCTTCAGGACCAGAGCCACTTCCTTCACAGCCTCTGGGCTAGCCTTCCCACAAAAACTCTCAATAGCGTGGAGCAACATGGGTTGTGAACCCTCTTCTTGAGCTAAAGCCGCTAGATATTTCTTCTTCTTCACAGCCTCCTTAGAGAAGCCTTTACCAACTCCCTCAAAGAGGGCCTCAAACACCGCATCAACAATCTCCTGCTTGTCCCCAGAAAGAGACTCCAAAAAGGGCTTCAGCTGACTAGCAAGAGAGCCCTTCTTCACAAACTCCTTAATCAAGTCGCGAGTATCTCCATTGGCTTTGGCTTTAACACCATTTGCTTGCCCATTGGCCTTTGGGTTGCTGGACTTCGGCTTCTTTTCCTCATCAGTCGAGAGCATGACCATCCCAGCTGTCACGGCATTCAGCTGCTCCTGCAGAACCTTCTTCACAGCTACCTCCGAGGTGTCCGTTTGCCACTCACCATCATCGCTGTCCTCATCACCGCCAGCTGGTGCCACATCTTGCTCATCCACCTGGCTACGAGGTGGAGATCGGTCCTCATCCGAGTGAGGGGACTTCTTCTTGCCCACCACTTTCTCCTTTGAGCCTCCCTTCTTCTTCCCCGCAGCCTCCTTCTTCAGCTTCTTCTGCTCCTCATCAGCAGCCTCACCCTCCTTGAGACGCTCCTTCTCGGCTCTCCTCATTGCCTTCTTGTCCTTGGACCCTTTCTTCGACTCGGGCGGGTTTTTGATAATGAAGGTTGTCAGCTTGTCCCGCATATCAACCTCCGAGATGAAGCCGCAGGCCGCACACTTAAGGTTGATCATTTGAGACTTTGTGATGATGATCTCAGTCTCCGGGTTCCCACACCCGTAGCACTGAACAAATTTCTTGATGAAGTTTTCGAGGAGGGCCGCCAGCTTGGATGTATCGTGGGCACCATTGACATGGGAAGTGCCAGTCTTCTCATCAAACTTGGACTGGGCCCCAAGCTCGCAGCCAAAGTACTTAGTCGTGTAAGAAGCAGGCCTACCGAGGGCCTTGGCGATGTCAACCATGTTGACCACGTTGGTCTTGATTCCGTTGCCACGGCCCTCGATCTTGGTTATCATCTTGGGCATCTTGTACCTGTAGAAGGCATCATCTTTGTTGCCAGCACCAATATTTTGCAAAGCCATTTTTAGGTACTTGTCAGCAAATAATAGCTTTATCAGAAGGACTATAATTTGTGGGCTTCGAAAAAAGTTTCTTCTTCAGGATTGTAATAGTTCCGCGCAGCAGGAGCAGCCCACATAAACTGGCAGTCTTGACAAAGCGTAGTGTGTCCCTGGCACAACTCGAGATGCATGCAGCCAACTTGGAGACCCGGATATCTATCCTTTCTTCTTGAAGGACAGTACTCACCAAGCAACCCGATAGATGATAAAAAGAGAGTGGCCCGTTCAGACATAAAAGATGTTTCTAACTTGGGTGACTCCACTTTCGCTGTATGCCGCAGCCAAAACCTTACAAAAATATAGAGTATCCAAGATGTTTCAATCTTGCTCGAAACAATTAAACAGTGTACAAAATGGCAACTTCCATATCAAAAATATATGGGTGTGACACAGCACATCAATAACAGGTTAAAAGATAAAAAATTAACAATTCAAGTATGCACAATAATCTGAGACTGCTACAACAAACTCAGTAAGATGATAGCAGAAGTTGTTTTCTAATCCATAATCAGAAATACATTTTCAACAATTAAAAGTTCTCATCTATAATATAAATCCGCCATGAATCTAAACAAATGAGCTTATCAATTTTCTTAGCTGACATGTTCTTCAAAACAGCTAATAATCCAGTTATGGCGACGCACATAAATAAACACGATGAACCATTAAACCTATATTATTCAATAAAACGAAACATATATGATTAAAATTGTGACCATAAACCTCAAACAAAAAGACAAATTAATTACCGCAACTTCTCGACATCTTTCAAGCCCAATTATAAGAACGCATAAGAATCAAAACGAAGCCATTATTACCAGGTACAGATCTAAAGCCAATCAGCAAAAACAGCGCATAGTGACAGTAAAATCCAAACCAATCAACAACAAAACGTAAGATCGAGTAAACAATACATCAACAAGCGGTTACAAATCCAGAAAATATATTAATAATAAGAATCGACGATACCTTGCTTGGGATGTGATGAGATGATAAATCTCAAAAAAAGAACAAACAAGGAATGTGGAGCTTGCGTATGAAAAGCGAGTGGTTGAGGATGGAGCGAGTTGTAGGAAAAAGGGACTTATATATAGAAGCTATAGGAAACCCTAGATGTCTAGGATTAAGATTTATGGCAAAGCAAGTAAAAATACAATTTTAATTCAGATTTTTTAATTGTGTTTTTCTAATCAACTCCAACTTATATCCTCCCTATCCTCTCTATATATAATTCCAGAATACGCTGAGCCTACGTGGCTGTTTCTGGTGTTTCGGAATCATATTTGGCGAAGAATCATGCTTCGTAATTAGGTTTGGACAAACAATATTGATATATTAATAATTAATTATCTAGGTTCGGGTATTCCATAAATATTATTTAGCTAACTTAGGTATTTTAATAACACTTTTACTAATATAACTCTTTAATTCTTTGTAATTTTACATAGGCACTAAGTGACTAATATATCTCTTCGTAATTAGGTTTGGACAAATAATATTGATATATTAATAATTAATTATCTAGGTTCGGGTATTCTATAAATATTATTTAGCTAACTTAGGTATTTTAATATCACTTTTACTAATATAACCCTTTAATTCTTTGTAATTTTACATAGTGTGACTAATATATCTCTGAATTTTGATTTGATTCCTTCAATAAGCTATTGAATTATAAATGTATTTTAAAAGTTGATAACTTTTGTATTTATTATTGGTTTTACATATATAATATATCAAATTAATCATCTTTTGATGATCTTCGATTTGACATCCATATTGTATATATAAAATAAATAATTATATTTATCTTTATAATAATAAAAAATAATAATATTTATTAAAATTCATTAGAAAAATAAAATTATTTCTCAATTGATATATTTATATTTAATGTAGTTATATATTGTAAGTTAAAAAAATTAGTATAATATAACACAAGTAAGTCGCACAAATAAAAAGTGTCATAATAAATATATAATAATATATATTCTTATAAAAGGTATTTGAATTTCCAAACTACTTTTTTCTCATCAATTTTAGATTTTAAGAAAAAATTAGCAAGCACCCGTGTAATACACGGGTATTGTCCTAGTGTTTAAGTAGTACGCTTACATGCTTTGAGATCCTACATGTCACAATATTCTGCATTGTAGTTAGATTCAAATATATAAGTTGGAAACTAATTTGGCTTGTAAAGTGACATAAATAATTTCTTCTCCATACATTATTGTCTCCTATCAATCTCTGTTTCGTTACCAATTTTGTCTTCATTTTAAAAATTACATAAATCATTTTTTCCTTATTTTATTTTACTAAGGATTAATCTCATTCATCGTATCTTTTTATTTTTGGTACAATTGTTTATACTATTGTAGTAGATTTATTTATTATTTTCTTTTCATGCATTGGAATAAAAAAATAATATAAAATATCAATAAAGAGGTAAATTGAAATAAGTAGTCTACAAGTAATTATTGAATTGCAAGCTAAAGTTAGGACCCGAATAAATGTAGCAAAACAAAAATAACTTACTTATTTACACAAATCACTGTTAAGAATAATATGACAATTATGTTATGTCATTGGTTACAAACAATTAGCTATAGTTGGTTTAATTATAAACACTAAAATTGATTAAAAATTAATAATAATGTAAACATGTTAAAATAAGTGTATAATTTTGTAAATAAATTGATAAATATATATATATATATATACACTTTAAATTCGGTATATCATTTATTTTGGAAAGTATTTTTTGGTATGAGACCGGGGATAAAACGGTACTTTTGTCAAAATGGCATTTAGAGGGTTACTGTATAGGTCGGTCAATCGTATCTGATATTACCTTCAATACCAGTCGGTTCGGTGCGGTCTTTAAAACATTGTGTTTTCCTATAATCATTGTGCCAATTTGTTTATCTTGTTAGCAAGAGTTTTTGTGTTATCTTTAGCATTAGCATGTTGATTAGTGCAAATTGTGCTATCAGTTAATTGTATTTAGATAATTAGCATACATAATATTTTTTATAATTTAATTTGATTATTGCAAATGATACTAAAATGGTTTCTTTAAACTTTGAAAAATTAATGTGATTAAAAATTCTTATGTTCATGTATAATGCTCTAGAGTTTTAAAACTAATAATGCAATTTTAAATGTTTCAAGAAATTAAAATAAAATTGTTAATTTTATCTTTATATATTTTGATGTAAATATTCCTTAATTATATACTTGTGTAGTACACGGATGTTGTACTAGTTTAGATTTTGATATTGGAAAGTCTTGCAATTTATGAAACAATAGATCAATGTCAATTGTCTTGTAACATTAGCAACATTTGACTCAAAAAATAGTAGTGATTCAAATATTATTTGTTGATAAAAATTTTAGATGTATCAAGTGTCACAACCAATTTTATGGAGTAGAAAACCTTTTTAAAACTATCTAGTTATATTACTATTGTTAAATATTGTGTAACTCGTGCAATACACGAAGGGACGAATATATTATAACTTCTTTTAAAACTTTATTTTAAATATAATTATTTAGATTTAACATCTCATTATGAGAATGAAATAAATACAAACAATAAATAATCCTATAATATTAAGAACTTTTTTGTACAAAGCATTTTTTGTTTGGTTTGGTGGCAAGTCATGTTCACCACGTAATAAAATTTATTTCAAACTCTTTTTGTTGGTGACGCGGGAGACAACAACATATAACTAGTCATAATTTGAGCATTGGTTTCTTCACGTAGCCAACGTTCCATAAATATTGACTCTGACTCTTTTTAATCGTCATTGCATAAGAAACCACAATAGTGAGTTGCCTTTGTTGAGACTTAAAATGAATTCTTGCATTTGTTATCGTTATCTGAGGTATCAATGCATTATTACCTCTATGGTCACCAGTAAGTATCTTACATTCCAAGACATGATTAGAGAGTTTGGTTACAACCACACGTGTCATATTGCACAATCCAATAGAATAGTCCATATTCGGCAGCAACATCACCGGAGTTCCTACCCTCTCACAACTCATGATTTGGTGTCACAGAACGTTTGAGAGAGTTAAACAACTTAAGAGTGTGAAGTTCTGACAAAAAATCAAAATTCAAGTCGGATTTACGAGTACTGGCGGAGCTTAAATAGATATGACCTTCTGTCATATTCAACAAAGACATCTATTGGCTGATAGACTCCACGATCTCCAACGTTGGTGCAAGTGTAGCTCTGTCCTTCTGATAACTTGGATCATCGAATGGTTCTAGTAATAAATCGTTTGGTATGCCAACCAAGGAACAAACATCACTCGAACCTCTTATATTACCATCTTCGATGCTAGCAATCCAATCAGCAAATTTAGCCAGCTCGTCATGTTTACTCGAATCGTCAAGGCTTTGAAGTTGCATGTTCTTCATTAGCCTAAGCACAATATAACTCGTCAAATGGTTGAAGCGTTAACGATCTCTTGAGGTTTCCCATTTGGAATCACCGACAAAATTTGTCGAAAATCTCCACCAAAAATAATAATCTTGCCTCTGAACGGTTAGGCTGATTAATAATTGCCATGATTGCTTGAAATGGCGCTTGAAAAACTTCAAAATAATGCTTATGCATCATTGGCTCCTCATCACATATGATAAGGGAAGATCGTATGATAAGCCCTGCTAGACGGTTAGCCTAGTTCATCTTGCACGATAAGTTTTCATGAAGATTAAGAGATATGCCAAAGCAAGAGTGAGCAGCTTTTTCACCCGGGAATAGAAGAGATGCTATTCCACTCCATGCAACAAAAAACACGATCTACCTATTTGATCTTAATCTTGCAGCTAAAGTCCTCCACAAGTATGTCTTACTGCTTTCACCATAACCACATACAAAAAACACATCGCCGCGACTTGAGCCAACCGTTGTCATAATTTTTGAATAAACTCCTCTCTGTTCATCAGT